TAGTAATAGCACTCGACTCGTCTCGACTCGAGTGAAGGATTACTTATTAGTGGTGTCGAGTCTGAAGCCCGAGCCAATGCTGTAGTTGCTGAAGCCCCATCCTATGGAATACTACCAACTCCCCGGCACAAGGTGAGCCAGTATTTTGTCTTGAATCACGAACTTGAAAAATAAATTTCGTTTGATATCAATATTCAATGTTCAATAACAATGCACTTCTGTGTTGGTACACTGATTCTGGTATCCAATGAAAAGAACAAAATAACTAAGTTACTTGTCAGTATGTGTCCTCGCTGCATCTCTCTCAAGAAATAGTCGTTCAGTTCATCACTAGAATAATTGTCAGTAGATAATTATTATCAGTACATGATGATATGTTGCAATGATGCGCACATCCAGGTAAAATGTTTTAAAATAGATCATCATGTACTGATAATTAATCTACTGACAATTATTCTAGTGATGAACTGAAAGAATATTTCAAAAAAGTAATACAATAGTATCTCACACATACAGTAGTGCATGGCACATAGATGATGACACAGCAACGACATAGCTCGATTGCGACGTACGTTTCGTCCCCGCTGGACTCATCAGGCAATCTTCTTCTTGGATGTCTTCATACGGAGCTTGACTCGGGAGAATGAAGTTGAAGACACTGCAGCTGTACTTATGGTTGATAAATATGGTGGTAAAGACACACCTGGCAGCATGGCGGTAAACACACGCCTGCCCACACACTGTGTCATCATCTATGTGCCATGCGCTACTTGATGTACCAGCCTGCTATGCCGGATACCGCCAGCCATGCATCGACCAGGCGCCAGGCGCGAACTGATGGTGGTGGTGAGAAGGAGAGCTCTGTGCCAGAACTTTGCAGCCTAGAGAGCGTGTGTGGGCAGGCGTGTGTTTACCGCCATGCTGCCAGGTGTGTCTTTACCACCATATTTATCAACCATAAGTACAGCTGCAGTGTCTTCAACTTCATTCACACATACAATGTTTATCAATATACAAAAGGAATATGCTGCAATGATTCGCGCATCCTGGTAAAATAGTTAAAAAGTAGTACAATTCTACACTGTATATTACACAAACTGTTTCTCAATTATGATGATATGCTGCAATGATGCCGTGCACGTGCGCACATCCAGCCCACAGTGTCTGTGTAGCACTGGCCGTGCATGGAAAAACGGTCGTAGGTGGTCGGTAAAACGAGAGGTCGCTTACACCAGGTTTTACTGTAGCACAATAGTACACACAATGTTTATCCACATACAAAATCTAGGAATATCTGGGAATATTGCCACATGGCATGTATGTTAGTTGTAGGGCCTTGCTGTCACTGTTAGTTTTCTAACTTGATTCATTCTTGTATGTCTAATTTCTCCCTTTACAATATGGCAGCTGCGCAGGGAATTCAAACTGACGCACAGTCACTATCAACGTTATCATTGCTGAGATCATCACTCGTACACGCAGCTGATCCATCACTATCGGACACACATGAGTCGTCGCAATCTGAGTTTGGCTGGGCATGATTGGACTCAGTTTCCAGTTGCGATACGTCAACGGACGTACTTTGCTGTGGTGGTTGCTCTGGCCTACTGTTGAGCGGATTTGCGCATGCAGTTTCGCAGCGGCAGATGTCAGTGCACGCAAGAGATGACTTCTTGCATGAGCAGCGTTGAGTGTCACACACTCCTCGGCACCCGCAGCTGATGAGGCTCTGAAGTTCTTTTGGCACTGCCTGCTGTTCCGTCCAATTCACAGCGACTTTGCCTGAGGGAAGAAACAAACATTGTCACAGACAGTTAATTTATTCCTCGCGTATATTTGTGCAGTAGACAGTCAACGCTTCCGGCTGGTTGACCGTGCTTCCTCTCAAGCAGGAAGGTTATGACATGTCGGCGGTCCAGTTCCGCGATCAGTTGGCCATTCGCTATGGCCAGGAGCCGAACGCTCTCCCGTCGCATTGCGATGGCTGTGGAGCTGCTTTCTCTCTACAGCATGGTCTGGATTGCATGAAGGGTGGGCTCATCAAGCGCGGGCACAACGATGTCCGCGACTTCGATGCCCGGCTGGCAGACGTTGCATGGGGAGGTGTGGCTGTCAAGCCGGTGATGGTACCTGTGCAGGATGGCAACAACCGCCCCACACTGCAGGCGGATTGGCTGGTCCGGGGAGTTTGGGAAGGAGACAGGGTGGCGTACTTTGACAACCGCATCGTGGATGCCGACGCACCCAGCTACGTCCGCTCGAACCTCTCTTGGAACGCCGTATCCAACAGTGCTGCCTCTTCCAAGAAGAGAAAGTACAAGGCGGCCGCAGAGGAGCTGCGAGCATCCTTCACCCCGCTGGTCTGCTCAACTGATGGTGCACTGCACACAGAGTACCGTGCGTATCAACGGCGACTTGCTATGCGCCTTGCCTCCAGGTGGGACAAGTCCTACAGCAACGTCATGTCCTGGGTGCGGACCAACCGTCAGTTTGCTGTTTTCCGGGCTGTCGACCTTCGTCTCCGGGGTTCACGTCGTCGTCTCAGTGGGCTGGCAATTTGCGATGGTGTCGGCCTTGGCGTTGGCCGTTAACATTCATGCGTATGGCACTTGTTGTTGTTGTGTGTGTGTGTGTGTGTGTGTGTGTGTGTGTGTGTGTGTGTGTGTGTGTGTGTTTGTTTTCTTTCCTTTTCTTTTCAGCTGTCATTTGCCCTGATCATGCCTCATGCGTGTTTCACAGCATAGTACGTTTCCGCTCATTTTCTTCTTCAACACACGCTAGCTGTATTACTTTGTTCTTGCCCGTACAAGAGGCTTTTCCACCCGTAGACAGTCATAGATATCTGGTTAAATGGGAAGGGCAGCACTGTATCCTATATCCTTTTATCTGCTAATTACAATTCTTTCAACCTTGCAGTATGTTTCTCAATATCCGCAGACTCCACTGTAGCCTTTGTAGACGCGTACCATACCATAACAATTACACAAGTGTAAATTTCCTCATGCATAACTTGATCCAAAGTTGGGTACATTACCGGTGCTAATTATTTATCGGAACAACTTACCGTCGCTGTCTTGAATCCATCCTCTGCCGATGGGCGTAGGCACATCGGGCTTCGGTTGCAAAGCCAGTCGCCACACAGTAGCCTGGTAATTAGCGCGTGCTGTGTGGACATTATGTAGCTCTAACACATCTCCAGTGCGTAAGCAAACAGCCTTCCAGCTTGGAAGGTTCCAGAACCTTGAACCTTCCAAGCTGGAAGGTCCAATCAGTGGCCAGAGCCAGTACTACTACCAGGTAGTATCATCAGGCGATGTTTTATGGCTCTACCATCAGGGGAAATGGAAAGAGGAAGGCACACGGGAGAGACCTATCTGGAGCTGAATGACCTGAACTACTTTCGGAAAGGACAGCGACGAACGAAAAACCAGGACGTTGCATAGAAGCAAGTAATTCCTTCAAAGAAATCCACGCCGAGCATCGCCTTTTGAAAAGTTTTTGAATTGTGGCGTCGTTTTCTTCTTCCTTTCCTAGTCAGAGGTGTTTCACATTTTTGCGCGCGCTCTCTTTTCTCTCAATGGTTGCATTCATGATTTTTCGCCCAGTGAGCCAAAAATATTACGATATCTCCTGCCTGAAATTGTCGATTTGTCGTCGGATATATTCCCTTCTCCTGAGGCTATGACACAGCTTTGAGATGTCCGACAACTTCAGGCATACTCACTGTTAGGTACTTGAAGGGTTGGCGAAGAGTTTTTGTGCTCCCTACGAAGTGGTACCCAAATTTTCGATTTCGAGATCGGGATCCCGGACTAACTCAGCTGCTCGACGGAATGGTGCAGCGAAGGAGTAACTCACTGTTTGAACTTTGGACTTTGATCTACAGGTCATGAACCGCTACTGAACGATCCACGGTTGCTAACTAGACCGATAGGATGTAGCACTCAGTGCGAGAACAAGGTCAGGGAGTGAATCGAATGATTCAGTCGCTAACGTGAGCAAATACACCCATTATGTCAACCAGGTCAGTTAGTGCAGTACCTGACGCATTTCTACCAAGCATGTGCACACACGCTAGCTCTCAACCGTGTCACTCAGCCTGATGACCTAGCTCTGGAGTAGGCATAGTCACAATGTGCAATATCAGTGATACTAATGCTGTAGGGGATTTCAAATAGACCTATAGCACATAATTGTATTTTTACTTACTGAGTGAGTTGTCCGTTCCTTTAAAGATCTTCTTCAAACGTTGGCTGAGTGGGCTGACTGGAACAAGTAGGTCGTTGAGAGAAGGAGAGCGTTATGCTGAACTTGTTGTTCACTGAGAGAGCGTTATGCTGAACTTGTTATTCACTGAGAGAGCGTTGTGCAGAACTTGTTATTCATTGAGAGAGCGTTGTGCTGAACTTGTTACTCTCTGAGAGAGCGTTGTAGCCACTACAGACTGATTAGTAGTTGAGAGAAAGAGTAACAATGACTGGAAAAGATAATGCACGTCTAACAAAGGTAGGTCAGAGGGACTGTTCAACCACACTAGAAGACGTTTGAAACAAAAGAGAAAGGCAGGGAGACGAAAACGGACAACTGGACTGTGCCTTGAGAAATGGATGACTGAGCGTTGCTGACCAAATAGCGATGTGATCTGATGTTTGAACGAATCGTGCATCACATGCATGTGGTAAATGGCAGGACATGCTCACTGTCTGGCAGACCACGGACGGCCATCTACTCATACATTGCGGACACTGCTTTAGCTTTGTGGCTGTGTGCCTTAGCGCGAACTCAGGCATCTTTTGTTTGCAGCACTGCGTGTGTGTCAGCGTGTTGTCACGTGATGTGCTACACGTCTGCACGATGTCATCGCGCTCTGCACAAACCGAGACAATAAAATGTGTTGTTTACCTAGTCATTGGTGACAAGAATCACATTCACACATGTAGACTACACACATAATGAGGGACCTACCCCATTACCACATAACAACACTACCTGGAACCAATCACGATTCAATGCTACGCTCTTCTCATCAAATATGGACAAAGAGCTGATGACATCGTGTCTTAGGGCACAGTCCCATACAGACCAGGGTGGTGTTGGTGTTGTCAATCTGATTGTCGTAAAATTCTATTATAACTGGTTGTTGCTAAACACGTGTCGTCATAACGACATGACGTCACTGAGCAACTTGACAATGTAGACACTGTAGTAGCTGCTTGTGTGTGGTCTGGTGTACAACTCAGCAACAGACTGTACATTTGGCTGATCGTGGATCAACAGGGCTGGTCTAATAGTAATACATGTAGACTACTATGTGTTGGCGTGAAATGGTGTGTTGGAGTGCTGTTGCTGGTGTTGTTGCTGCTGCTGCTGCTGCTGCTGCTGCTACTGCTGATGCTACTGCTAGTGCTAGTGCTACTGATGCTGCTGCTGTTGTTGTTTCAAATATTTATTCTCACGATAGCCAGTGGCCAGTAAGAGATAATAGTGTGAGAGAGGAGAAAGAGTGAGGGAGAATTGAAGAGAGTACGAGAAGGGATTTCGCGAAGCTCGGCGGGCAAGAAATTATAGTAATGAAGGGCTTTGGACAGGGGAGAATGGAACCAGCGATCAGTCCGCGGAGTTGGCAAGTGCCAAGTACGAGAGCGACGTAAATTATACGAAGGTTGCACGCTGCTAGCAGTATGCAGCGAGAGTAATATGCGGTGGGGCATAATTGTGGCGCAGAGAATGTGCGAAAAGTACATGTATATGTTTAACTTTAAAGCGTGAAAATAATGTTGGCCATTTGATCCGATGCAAAACGTGGGAGCATACATGTACATGTAGTATAAGTACAGCTGGACAGCGTTTCCCAATATCTAAACTCACTCTACAGAGTTTGGGCAGATTTCAAATGTTTGCCAAATTAAAGACTGAAAATGGCCGGAGAAACGTTCTTCACTGGTATGGAGTCATAATTTCACGACATTCCTGTTTGGCCATTGCTGTTGGAAATGAACAGATCTGGGTACAGTCAACTTCGCTAATAACGACTTCGGATATAACGACAATTCGCGAATAACGACCGAATTTCCATGCCCAGAGCAAAGTCCCATCTAACTGTATACATTTAACTTCGGATATAACGACTATCTGAATAACGACAATTCGCGTATAGCGACATGCTTTTAGTGCCCCGAGGTCATATTCACTGCTTGAATAACGACTTTCTGGGCTTTTGACAGCTATTTCAAGTACCTGTCAGTCAAGTACATGTACCTGTCATGCAGAAGTACCAGAACCTATGGTGATGGATATTATTATTATAAAGGCACACATGCAAGAAAATGCAGCCAAGGGGGGCTTTTTCTTCCTTTTTTATGTTGGCTTCAAAATTGTTGGATTTACCAGTAGGCCTTGACGGATTATGCTAATATTTTCGTTAAATTATGCTTTTCGCATTGCTGAAAAAATTGCAAAATTATGCTATTTTTATGCTAAAAGTTATCATAATTATGCCGCATTATGCTCACATATGCTGCTAATGTATGATGGTTCTGTGCAGAATAACTGCGGAATTTTTTTGTAGAGGGCGCTGTACTGTAGTAGCAAAAGCTCAACGGGGTCAACGCACCGTGTGACCTAGCGCTAGCTACGACCGTCATTGATTGTAGTGGACTGGACATGTTACCAAGGGAGTCGAAAACCTACGACTTCCTGGTGCATCTACTTGTACTTGTACTTGTAGAACATGTACAGCTGTATGGAATTTGATGCGAACAGGCGGATTTATGCGATTCGTATGCAATTTGCCTCGAATTATGCGATTATTCGATTTTGGTAGGAATTATGCGAAAAATTATGCTAGCATAATCCGTCAAGGCCTATTTACCAGCACACCTATATGTATACAATGTACATGTAGTTGTACATGATTGTACAGAAATCATCATACATGTACATGTCTCTGGCCCTGTAGATGGCTCAAAAAGGCATATTTTTCAATTGATTTCCCTTGCATATTGAATTTTTAGTTCCTTTCAACTGCAATATGAAAATAAAGTACACATTGACATAGAGCAAGAAAAGAGCTTGATTTTGATATGCATGTCATACTATACAAAATATGGGTTCACATACATTCAAATGGGACTTCGGTTATAAGGACACTTCGTGAATAAGGACACTTTTCTGTTGCCCCGCCGAATGTCGTTATTGGCGAAGTTGACTGTAGTGTGGTTTGAACACAAACTTCGTAACTACACGTACCTGATTGTAGTATGTAAGTTTCACGATGACAGTGTGAACAAGGTGGACTACCCACTGTATGGGAAAACACTACTCCAGGCTCACTGCAACCATACACTGGTCGCTATGCCCCTGTTCAGGCACTCATTACTCTAAGGGGGGGGGGGCATTATAGGAATATTCACTGATCTCGTGGTTTAATTGGTCGCAAGACCGAGACTGTTGTGAACCCTGCAAGATTCTCTAATTGTCAGGATCGTACGACCACACGGCACGAGGACAACTCTTTTCCTTTACACAGTATATTTCACTTCATCTGATAATTAACAATGACCACTAATAACACCAGCTATTTATAGCATGC